ACTGAAGAGCTACAGATAGATGTATGTACAAGAACAGGTGCTACACACGTATAGCGTAGACACGCCTAGGGGGACCTAGGACCCTACTAAACACAAAACAGACACAAATTTTCTTCGTGTCGAAGCTTACGATCTCTAAAGTACAAAAGGTTCGCAAAACGTTGCAAATGAATTCGAAAAGTTCTGACTTCGCAGAACTCTACCGTAGATGCCATTCTGGCTCATCTAGAATGCGTCAGATAATCTTTACAAATCTACGAAAGGCATATTTGCTGTATCGAACGTTCCGGAATGTCGGAAATCTTCTTTCTCAAGTCGAATCATCAAATTGAAGTCTAATCTTTGAGGCCTTAAGTTCAAAATTATCTGGGTCATTTTACCTGCATTTAGCTTTGTGGCATTTACCTGTAGTCGGCCGGAATATCGGCCTTTTAGAGCAGAGACTACCTACCAGTCCCGGTGGCCTCGGTACCCAGGGTTCCAAGATGACGAAGAGGAACCGGTGTACCACCATGAGCTTGACGCTCCCGAGGACCAGGGCTGGCGCCAGCCAGCTTGGCGAGCTTGTTTCTTCTGCCGGGATTGTTCCTTCAAACGTTCAAGCCGCTCGGCATTCTTCTCGCCACGTTTCTCGGCGGATTGCTGGCCACGAACTCTGATCTTGTGTCGGCTGGCAAGCGAAAAATTGCACTGAAATGGATGGTGGTATCCCAAATCGCTGCTCTTCAGACACAGATCAAGATGGTTCAGGTGCTTGAGGAATTCGTTGACCTTAATGGTAGTCTCTTTCTGGCGTGGAGGCTCCTCATATCCGACACGTCCACGATCATCCGGAATATCGGATGTCCTTGACCGCAACGTCAACGTATGCATGTCCTTGCCGTAATTTAAGGCGATCTGCAGCATGCAGTCGCAATCGGCATCCAGACCTTCCAAAGCAGCGAGCTGCTCACTGGCGAGGGTTGAGACCTCCCAGTTATAGGTGATGCGCTTACTCGGCTCGCGCTTCTTGTTCGCAGAAACAAGAATCTGGTCAAGGATGGTTAGGACTGCTCCGGTTCCTGGATCGGCATGTCGATCGCCCCGGAAGTTGCGGTTCGTGAACTGGTTAGCATCGCACGCGATGACGTCCACCTGGTCTGCCACGGCCGTGATCAAAATCTTCATGATGGCGTTCTTGCCGGCCGTAATACCTGACTGAAAGGCATGTGCATTGATGTGGAAAGCGCAAACTCGAAGTTCAGGCATGCGCATGCGCTTGCAATCATTCAAGCTCCCGGTCCGGAATGTCGGACACTCGTGGAACAATGCCTCTGCATCAACTGGTGAGGATTCAATGTATGTGGTGGTTGCTTGTGCTACAGCTAAGGTGTCAGGGCAGACTGATGCCTCCATGTTATTTGCTGGATCAGCGCCTTCTTCAAGGGCAACACGGAGGTTCTTTCGGACGCCACGGTCATCGGTGATGCCTCCATCTGTCTCTTCTTCGACCTTTCACGCGGAATGTCGCGGCATGGGCTACCCAGGCTAACCGTTCGCCTTCAAATTCAAACCTACGAATGAGCTTCAGCCTTGAAGCGCCAAGTGGATCACTGGAGCATACGGCTGCGATAGCGGGAGATTCGCCATCCGATGTAGCCAACACGCACAGGCATTTGTATTGGTTAAAGAGCTCTCGATGACGCTCGATGCCGTTGGCTTCAAGAAGGATTGTGATATGGGCTGTGTTCCTGGCAAGGTAATGAGGAAGCACAGCGTATTGATCGGTCTCGGCGAGATCCCTGGATAGCGGCTGCCTGCCGTTGAAATGAGGTGTACGATTGATATCGCCGAAGTTGAGAAGCAGGACACTGACGTGCTCAGTGGACCGGAGAAGCCGGGCTTCATCGAGGTCAAATACTCCCTGGTTCGCGATATCCCTGCATGTACGAACGGCTTAGCTCGACAATCTGTCGCATCTCCGCGCCGGTATATCGGCGATTGGAGTCGTAATAGCAACTTGGCCGAATGATTGGGTATGGTGCCACATCAGACTGTTCGTCCCAATGTTGAGCAATCGAGGGAATGGAACGGCTCCTGTAGGTTGGATGGTTCGTGTAATGGTATTTGCTGACTCCTTCGAGTACAATTCGATCCATCGCGGCATAACCTGTTGAGCCGCCACCGAGAACAAGGTCTTTGATTTCTTGCAAACGGTGCAATCGACCGACATGACGGTCGTCAGGACGCCAACCCTCGGACTCGGCTGCGAAGGGAATCGTGAAATCAATTTCTGCAGTGATCTCTTCGCGCTCGTGCTCACCCAGCGGTGCCGGCATATCGGCGTCTGGGACGGTCGAACAGAGATAAATGCTGTTGCAGGAACAATGGTTACTGGCATCGTGGTAGCAGTCAAGGCATGTTCCATGTCGACATGCTCTGCAGAAGAAGAGTACTTCAGCATTTGCACAGGTCAAACAGGTCATCTCATCTGGGCGATGATGGAATTTAGTTGGTGCTTTCTGTGCTTTCCTTGCATCGCTGATGACCTCCCGCGCCCGCGATGTCGCACGCTTCTTGGACGTTGCTTCGATGTACTTCGTTTCCGGAATATCGGAAAACGAAACCCTGCGACCCTCGGACGGAGTGCGGGCGGCTCCCGGTGCATTGTCAGCCTTCTTAAGGACAGTACGAGACGGGGTTCGTGACCGTGCACGGGAGGACCAGACCCTTGTGCTCTGCTTCTCTTCTTTCTTGACTGCTGCAGACGATGAGGCCGCTGCTGAAGGATCGTCCGGCATATCGGACTCTTCCTTCTTCACAGTGCCTTTCTTGACCCAGGTGCCTTTTTGGCATGCTTCCGCGAGGTCGTCCACCATGGCTGCGTCTAAACTACTTATGACCTGAACTTCATCATCGTCGTCTGCCGGAATGTCGGCATCGACCTCCATGTCGTCATCATCGTCAAGATCAATCAGGTCATCTCCCTCTTCCTCGGTCGTTTCCGACAACGAGCGCTTCTTAAGACGACGCATGTTAGTGGCTTCATCCTTCCAGTCGTCGTCGAGGGAGAGAAAATTCAGCCATGTCTCAGTGTGGATCTTGGACATGCCGTGGAGCTGATGGCGGTCAAGTTTCTCTTCGGCCTCCTCACGCCATGCCTCGACCTCGCGAATCTTTATATTCTTAAACGCAAGCCGCCTGGTTTCAGCCTTGAACTTATCGTGGCCTTTGCCTACCAGCCTCAGTACCTCGCAATAGAGCTGAGAATAAAAACGCAAGTACGGCTCATCGGGTACTGACATGGCTGGAGTGGAATCTGGGACATCCCACAGCTTAGTTGACACGCAGCAATTGTTCCGGATGTCCCATGCAAGGCTGAAAAGACCGGCCGGAATAACGGCCTTGGTCAAAAAGTATCCATTCTTGCTCAGGCAAAAATCTTCCATGAGCTCTGGATGCTTTTCCAGCGTAGCCTTAGACAAGACGAGTATCACATTGGCCGTTGGTCGAATGTGTTCATAGGAGACCAAAAGTCCGTCGATCGGCAGGAAGTGGTTCATGTTACGCTGCTTATTGCCGGCTGTACTGACGCCTCCGGGAAGGAGACCGTACTGCTTAATCGAGCGGACGTGGCGATACTCCGTCATGTGAACCAGCGTGTCCGGCATATCGGAGAGCTGGCACTTCGGGATCTTAAGGCCGGTTAATGGAGTTGCGGCTCCTCCCGAATGGCTGGAAACGCCTTGCGCAAAAACATGAGCTGCCCTGTGCTGCTTATATAATTGGGCCAGCTCCTTGCGATCCTCAGCCGTCATACCGGCTGGGTGGATCCACTGAGAAGGGTTACTAACAAACTTCTCACCCTTCTGATGATCGGAAGTGCTCAGAATGCCAACCTGGTACCTGCCTTTCTGATTATACATAATAGTGATGGCAAGC